GGCTGAACCAAGTCCAGATGTATTTCCTCGTTTCCAAGTTCTACCCAGTTACTGTGGCTGTAGAAATCCTAGCCAGAAAGAAAGATGGACAGTGAGCAACTCCTGTATTATTATTTTGTTAAACTATTGATGATAATCCTTCAGTTTGATTGAAATGTTAGCAAACTCAGCTTGAGCTTCTTGTCTTGGTGAATGATTTCAATACCTTTTGCAGAACAGCAAATTAAGAATACAGTGGTACCTCGGGTTACGAACGCCTCTGTTAATGAACTTTTCGGGTTACGACCAGCTCCGGCCGCAAAAATTTACCTCGGTTTGCGAACTCCCCCTCGGGGTACGAACAGGATACGCAGCCATTTTCCCTCCCATGACACGGTCCGTGGCCATTTTTCCGCCCCTGACACGTGGTCCGTGGCCATTTTTCCGCCCCTGACACGTGGTCGTGCGGCCATTTTTCCTCCCCTGACACGTGGTCCGCGGCCATTTTTCCGCCCCTGACGTGGTCCGCGGTCATTTTCTGCCCCTGACACGTGGTCCGCTGCCATTTTCCGCCCCTGCCACGTGGTCATAGGGAGGGGGACTCTCCCTCCAAGCAATAGCCGCCTCCCTGTCCTCCACGCCAGAATGGATTAACGGTAATTACATTGAACCTTATGGGGAAATTTCCCTTGGGTTGCGACCAATTCGGGGTGCGACCAGAGTCACGGATGAATTAAATTCGTAATCCAAGGTTCCACTGTATTTGAAAGAGCAAAAGGATGAGGAAATGCTGTTTCATAACAGAGTGCTGGGCTAGATAATATAGACAATATAAGGCAGATAGTACTAGACAATATAAGGCAGTTGAGAGATATATTTGGTTATGTTCCCCCCAGGCAAAGCTTTAAATCTCAGCTCTCCAGATACCTAATACCTTATTCAAGAATGGGATAGTTGGCTGAAAGTTTACAGACATGCCTCAGCAAGATTAGTTTTTTCATTGGACAAGAATGAAGCCACGGAGGCACAGATGTATCCATTGCTGTGCAAAGAAATCAAAGCCCTTATACAGATCTACGGTTCCAGTTTTAAATTCTAGGCTTTTTTCTCCTGCCTTTCCAAGTCAACAGATCCTTCGCCATTCTCTTGATGGCCTTGGAAGGCACCACATCTACCATGGTTTTCTCTCTAACATGGAGACTATTCTAACTAGCCTTGCTAGCTTCATTTCTTGCACATATAGGTAGTCCTCACCTAGCAAATGCCTCATACAGCAACCATTCAGAGTTACAACAGTGATGAAAAACTAACTTTGCGACCAGTCCTTGCATTTACGACCTTCGCAGGTCTGTAAAGCAAAGGAAAGCTAAAGTAAGATCATAAGCACAGTCACAGTTTCACTTAGCAACCGCTTTGCTTAATAACCAAGTTGCTGGTCCCAATTGTGGTCACTAAACAAGGACTACCTGTATTTCTAAGACTTTGGCTAATAATATCTATAGAGTAGAGATATTACCAAAGACATTTTCAGATCATAATCCAGTGACTTTAACTTTTAAAAGGAAAAATGGATCTTTTAGATGGAGATTGAATGAGTTGTTATTACAAAAAGAAATGGTGGTAGAGGATTATAAAAAGAAGTTAAAGGAATTCTTTAAGAATAATCTTAATAGAGGTACAGAAGTAAGGATGGTTTGGGATGCAAGTAAAGCTTCTGTAAGAGGATATTTTATACAACACAATAATGAATTGAAAAAGAAAGAAAAAGAAAAGGCAAGAGAAAATGCAAATGTTCTTATATAAGATTTTAAAAAAAGAAAGAAGAATTTAAAAAATCTCCAGGAATGATAACTATAACTCACCAAATCAAGCTTTTACAGAGGCAACTATCTATATTGACAGTGAGAGAGATGGAAATAAAGATGAACTATGCAAAACAAAGAAATTTGCAAAAAATTTGCAAATAAACTGGGGAAATGGTTGGCATACAAGCCGCAAAAAGAAAAAGAAAGTGATAATAGAGTTAGAAGAAGGGAATAATGTAATAACAGTTAATGTGAATATGAGAAAAGTGTTTCATCAGTATTATAATACTTTATACAAAGGTTAAGAAATTTCCTCGGAAAAAGTGGATGAATACTTGCATAAACAGAATTTACTAAAGATTATAGATAATCAGAGATAATCTATAATCTATTTGCAGATGATTTGGTGTTAATTTTAGAAGATCCACTAGAGGGAGTAGAAGCATTAATGGTAAAATTAAAGGACTTTGGTATATTAGCAGGTTTCAAGATTAATAATCAGAAGACAAAGATGTTAACAAAAAATGTGAAATTAGAAGATCAAATAGAACTGATGGAGAAAACTGGCTTTAAGATTGAGAAAAAAGTAAAATATTATTATGACAAACATGAATTGTATGTTACTTCAAAATAATTATGTTAAGACATGGACTGAAATTAAGAAGGACATGTTAAGATGGGAGAAATTAAAACTATCACTGTTGGGGAGAATTTCTGTGATAAAAATCAATGTGTTGCCAAGAATGGTGTTTTTGTTTCAGACAATACCTGTTTTGACAACGGATGTACCATTTAAACAATGGCAAAAAGACATATCTAAATTATATGGCAAGGGAAAAAAACCACAAGTTAAATATAAAGTGTTATAAGATGCAAAGGAAAGAGGAAGATTGGTTTACCAGATTTAAATTTTGCTGTAGTTTGCTGCTTGTTGTTTGATCTGGATGAAAGAATGGATGTTGCTGAGAAACAAGAGACTTTTAGAGTTAGAAGATCATGACCTGAGATTTGGATGGCATGGATATTTATGGTAAGATAAATTTAAAATTAATGTGGACTTTAAAAATCATTTTATTAGATGTACCATATTGAGAATATGGAATAGATATAAACCCAGGTTGTGCCCAAAACACCTTCATGGATCTCAGCTCAAGAAGCGCATTATAGAAGAGAAATGGCAGATAAATGGTTGATGTACCGAGAGTTATTGGAAAACTATCAAGGGGAATTTAAGATTAAATCAAGAGAACAACTAATAGCAGAAAGATACAGGTGTCAATGCTTTTCCCACTTACAGTTACTTGAAAGATTTAAAATAGATAAAAAGACTTATAGCATGAAGCAAAGTAAGTCAGAATTTGAAATACAATTATGTACTGATGATGAACATATAATTGCTAAATGTACAAACTTTTGCTGAAATTTGAAACAGGAAGAACAGGTTAAAGAGCATATGATAAAGTGGGCTAAGAACTTCGGTTATAATATACCAGTGATTCTCAACCTTTTTGAAGCTGCCGCCCCACTAAGGAATGGAAAATTTTTCAACGCCACCCTTTGTGAAAAT